CATCAGCTTCGAAAAGCTACAGGGATAGTGTCAGTTCCCGCGGACGTCTGTAATTTGCGGGCAACTCAAATATTCCGATCCTGCGCAGGACTTGTGAGTTTGGCTGGCGGGGAAGTAGGTGCTCCAGGCAGTTTTGCATTATTCTCGAGGGCTTGAGGCGTTTAGGGTTAAAATCCTGAAACCCTTCCACTTCATTTCAAAGGTAAGTATTACAACTCCTCGTTTTCATTTATCTCAAACCCAGCTCACTCTCTTGCCTCAATCGCAATTGACGGAAAGCCATTCTAATGCATTCCGTTCCTTCTGACTTCCCGTCTTTTTAAAATCGTTTCTTCCTCAAAACAGTTCGGGTTCTCGCATAGTTACATTAGCAATTATTTACTAATAATACTAAGGAAAATCCATTCTTATTCCTAAGCAGAAAAGCACTCGAGAACACATTTGCCCGCACCCAAAATGGCGATTAGTTCCTCTTTGCATTTCACCGCCATACACTCGCTGGAGAAACTTCAGCTGCCCCGACTTCCCTTTCCCACTCCCGGCGGCCATTTTTCTTTCTCTGTAAAGCCACGGGACTTGAAAGACAGGAAGGAGCCCGGCACGCATCCTTCCAGCCAATCATTAAGCAAGTGCACGAGACGGGCAGGCCTAGGAGCCGACGATTTCCTTCTCTCTTTTGCGGAGAGGCGGGACTTCGTTTGACGACGTCCAATGAGCGGGGAAAGAACTTCCTTCCCCAATCCGCCCTGTTCCAATTGGCGTGGGGCGAGCGTTCAGCGGTCGAAGCAGAAGCTCGAGTTGGACGCGGGTAGGTGAGTTAGTACCGTGAGGCGGGAGCGAGGGAGGGAAGCGGCGTGGAAGCCCCTACGGGCAGCAGAGAGCCCGGCGTGTGGCTCTTTGACTTTCGGTCGCGGTTCCAGGGGCCGGTAACGGACAGGCGCCGGCTTGGTGTTGCACATAAGTGGGGAGAAAAAAAAAAAAAAAGGTTCTCGTGTGCTCGACTCCCGTGACTGGTCCGTTCAAACGATTTACTTTACCCTGCTGGGATACGTGAAAAAAGCTATTTTGGGAACTGGGTTGCCTCTATCCGGGCACTCCCCCCTCCCATTTATTATGGAAAGTAAAGGCTCGACCTGCCTGTCCGCCGCCCAGGTAAAGCGGCGCAGAAGGAGAGGTGCAGGTTGGGGGGCCGTAATCTTTAAGCCGCCGCCGGTTTCGGAGGTCGTCGGCCGGGTAGGAGCCCCGCAGCTAGGCGAACTCGTGGCGACGTTTCGATTTCAGCGCTCGGCTCGTAGCTTCCTCCGCCGTCCGATCCTCCTTGTTGGGAGCGAAGGCTCTTGGCGCTTTTTCCTCCTCCTCCTCCTCGGCAGCAACTTCCATAGGGCCCTCCGACGGAGTATCCTAATCTG